CCCTGCGCCGCCGCGGTTCCCGGTTGGCCGCCGTGAGGGAGGCGGCTGCGGCAGCCTGGCGGGCCGGTGCCGCGTCACCCGTGCCCTCGGCCATCCTTCGTGCGTGGGGAGAGCGGCGCGAGTCCGCCGTACCGCCGCCCTGGGGGCTTTCTGGGTGGCGGCGCGCCTCGCCGCGGAACGGGGCGTTGAGCAGGGCTTTCCAGCAGCTCCCGGCTCGGCGGCGGCCTAGCGGGAGCCCTCGCAGAGGGGCCCTGCCGCAGCCCGGCGGCCTCGGCCGCAGCCCGTCTGAGCCGAGTTCTGAAAGCCCAGAGAGCGGTAACAGGAGCAGGAGACGAAAACGCGCTGAGCGAGTAGCACCTAGTGGGAGAAGGAGGCCATGGGAGGCTCCGGCGGGTAGCGGCGCAGGCACGGCGGACGGGATGGGGGAGAGGTTCGCGCCGGCGCCCGCGGGGCACGGCCCAGGATGGGGCGAGGAGGAGATGTGCGACGGGGAGGAGGGGGCCGTGGTGGCAGGGGGAAGGAGGTGGAGGAAGAACGGTTTCTTTTAGGAAGAGTTGTCTCAAAAGAAGCGCTCTTGAAAATGCTTTCATGTGGGACATTCGCAACTGAATTGGACAAAACACGAGTGGGTTCGGTAGGGCTAAGTCCTGTGCTAAATCAGGTAGGCCTACTGGAAATGATCCCGTAGATACATAATTATACCTGAAGAGGGAAATAGTGCCAAGTACCGTAGGACAAGAGTTTTATAGTTCTGGAAGATACTGTAAAAGCACATTCTGCTGCAAGAAAACAAGTCTCTACCTGCCAAGCAGTGAATTACAGGGAGGGTTCAGTTTAGGACCTTTTCCATCTTAGTGATGGGAGTATAACAAGGATGAGAGATGCGTAGTATTCCTCTTTGATTTAAAAAACACGTTACTTTCCTAGGAGGAATGAGATGCCTTCAGACCTTGTTAAAGATTATTTTTGTATGTGGAGTTTTTCTAATCCTATGCTAAATAAAATGGTCTTTTTCACACACTGACATCTAAGCCAATTTGAGTTTTCTGTTACTACTTAAGTCTTTTCAGGATTTTGGAAACGATGTACTTTGAGACATAATCAATTTTCATGTATCACTAGTTGAAAAGTGCTGCTGTACATTTACATAAGCTATTTTAAATCTCTGATGGATTAGAAATAAGTTTCAGTCCTTCCCAACAGTCCCAATCTATCACTGTTTTATCATCTTTGTGGACTTCACAGGCAATGCTCTGAATTCATGGAACATGCCGATTCAATACATTTGCTATCTGTTTTAAAAAGATAGTAAACATTCCCTGAATTGTGAGTAGTTAAGCCAGTTCAAAGCTAACGGGTGTTATGTATGTACTGCTGCGAACATAGGACATTTGCTATAGTATTTGAAAAACAAAATTATTGGCATAATCTCTCCTTTGAAAAGTTTGCAATGTCTGTTTTTATCTTAGTTGGTTTAAAAAAAAATGTAACTGCATTTTATTAAGCAATGACAAACATTGAGGAATATAGTAAGAAATCCCAAGAGCATGCTAATATATCTGAGATTAACAAGGCCACAATGGTGAAAAACAGACACTGCTTTTACTACTGATGAGGTGGCCTGGCCTGCAGAAGTTCATATTTTGAAGGAGAAGAATGGAAAGGTCTTTTTTTGCTTTGAAACAGGAAATGGGTTTTAGAATTAAGGTGCTGGAGAGCAGAGTACACAAATAGAGCATCTTCTGTCTGATAGTCAAGAATAGGCTAAGGAGAAGCGCGTGGTTTTCCCTACATGTCATTTATCCCTTTTCCAAATATCCAAATCACACAGATTACACTGAAATACCCATTGGCAATAAACGTAACATTCTAATTTTTTTTCCCTGTCTTTGGCACTCAGTCATTAATCTGCTTTACTGCTGGACCTCACAGTTCTGCTTCCTGGGCTTTAGAAGTTGCTCTAAAATTAGTAACTGTTACCCTTTGTGGAATTGGAAGTAGACAGAGGGCTGTTTGACAGTGCTTGGGACCAGCAAAGACTCTTGGGCTGGAGCCTCCTTAGCTGAAAAGCAGAGGGGCCGCTGATGCGACACTTTGGGATAGCCTGAAGCGCGCAGCTGGCTTTCCCTTGTGGCCCGTAGGGACCTGAGGAGACGTCGGGGTGTGCGGGGGCACGGGGCAATGTCAGCCGGCTCTTGAGGAGGGCAGGGCTCTTGAAGCATGAGCCTTGTACTTCTGCTGCTTTTCTCCTGACGTGTTTTGAAGGCTCTGGAAGTAGGATGTTCTTTTTCGCATCCTGGATTCAAATAAAAATGCAAATAATTAGTTCTAGCTAGCTAAAATGCAGGTTTTAGCCTGTTAGTTGATCAAGCGGGTTGAGGCTGTGTGGGCATGTGGTACTGTTAACGTTTATGAGGGTGACAGTACAGGGAACGTGAGAGCTGCTGAAATACGCCTGCTGCCTTGCCAACTTGATTTGCTACGAGGGCTGGACCGACCTCTGATTAAACCCTTGGTACAGCTGGCCTGGCAGAGGCATGTCCCAGAGTATCTTCCGTTGTACCCTGCCGGTGTGTCCTACAGGGAAGGTGGTTGAGCAAGAGCCCTGGCCTACATGCCTTCCTCCACTGACAGGGAGGCTGTGACGTTTCTGGAAGCCGGGCACCTTGTATATATGTTTGGGATTGCTGCCTTAGTTTTCTGACCCTAAAGGACATGACCGATATAGAAAGATACTTATTTACTTAATGACATTACCTGGAGCTGGAGACCCTTGGCAGAAGCTGCCTATGCATTCTGAATTTTATCCATCATAGCATGCTGACTGACACTCGCTCTCAGCAGTTTGAACTTTTCCTATATTTATGCAGTCCTTATTTTTATTAGTGTTGATCAATAAGGTGTAGCATTCTTTGCTGTGAAGCTGCATGCCTGTCCACTCCATCCTGAAATTGCCAGCTTGGGAATGGTTTGGGTTGGTCTTTGGCAGCAATCCTTGTTCTGTCCCATCACCCTTCACCTCCGTGTTTAAAGGCCAGGCCAGGCAAAACTCTTGTCAGTCCAGCAGCGGGAAAGAGGCCCCCCTGTGCAGGACATGGGGCAGCAGACAAAAGGCACTCGTGTCACAACAGTGCAGACGGGAACCTGGCTCACTGACTTCGCCAGTGCTTATTTCCTTCATCACACAGAGCGCTTGCTTCAGGGGTGTCAACCTACGTACAAGGACCTCGTCACTTATGAAACAATTTGGGCTGTACTCCCTAGAAGGAGGAAGCCATCACACATACGTGGAATTTCCTACCTTTGGCACATCTTGGTCATGTAAGTTACTCCTATACCATAAGCTGTTCATGTAGCCTTGTGGAGAAGCAGGCACCTGCGAGAGATGTGACAAGCCTGTCCTAAGAAATACATTTAATAGGCAGTATGGATGATACCCACTTTAGGTTGATGGCTACCATAGACCTTTCAGATAACTAACCTTCAGTGGGATGAATTCAGCATCTCCCTAAGTGTTGTGTGCTCTGCCCAGGTAGTTTGTGAAGGCTCTCCTGGTCTGTCCATAGCAGTTGTTACTGGCAAGTGGGGGCTGCTCTGTCTGTTGGTATCAAACCACTCTTGGCTTTGCCTTTCAGCTCCACACGTAGCTTAAACTCTTCCAAGGCGGGCTGCTGGCACCAGAGGTGGTCCAGGCCTTCCTCTTTGCTGTGCAATCCTGCCTTCTCGCTGGTACCACCAGCTCTGCCACCTGATGCAGCTGAAAACTAACACTACACAAAAAGCTGTTGCCTGGCCATCATGAGGGGAGAAACACGCTGATCTTTTGCGAGCAGTGCAGATTTAGATCAAGTGCCTCAAGAAGTTGCTCCGTTGCAGATGTTGTTTGGCAGGTAGCAGGCTGTCAGGTTGCTGGGCTAGTAGTTGAGGCATGCCTCAAGACAAATTTTGGATACGTCCAGTGGGACTTTTTATCTGTCTTCATGGTCACCCTGAAGCTACTTAAATAGCAGTCAAGCAATTGCTTGTGGTGACCACATGCCATTTCATAAGCCGTGAAAGCAAGGGGTGCTTAGAATTGCCAGAAGTCAGGAAGAGGGTGGTTATTCCACTCATGTCCTTGGTTCTCATGAGGGTGTTTGTCCTTCAGGAGGAGGACATTATGTTACTGGATGCAAGTGTGTAGGAGTTACTTACCTGGATAGTTTTGTGGTGGTAAATGGTTATCATGACAGCAGTAGGTTATGTGAGAGTAACCACCCTTGTGGGCACAGGGCAGGCACAAAAAGTGTGTGCAGGCTGCAGTTGCCAAGGCAGTCAGCAACAATACTTGTGCAATTGAATAAAAAAAATTACTTTTTTTCCCCAAGCATTAATGCTAGTGCAAATTAAATTTCAGCTTGAAGACAGTTTTATTTTGGGTTGGCTTTGCTGATCGTTTCGGTAGGTTGACTTTGCCTAACTGCCCGTACAAATGATCTTTTCAGCTGCAACACATAAGATAGGTTAATGCAACATACTCCTCTAAAAGCCAGGGAAACAAGGGCAGGCTTCTAATGGCTGTATTTCTTCTACCAGATCTTTTAATCTGCTTAT